TGTCACCTTCATTATTTTAGGAACCTTCGAGTGTCACCTTCAGTATTTTAGGAACCTTCGAGTGTCACCTTCAGTATTTTAGGAACCTTCGAGTGTTCCCTTTAGTATTTCAAGAATCTTCGAGTGTTACCTTTAGTATTTCAGGAATCTTCAAGTGTTACCTTTAGTATTTCAGGAACCTTCGAGTGTTCTCTTAAGTATTTCAGGAATCTTCAAGTGTTACCTTTAGTATTTCAGGAACCTTCGAGTGTTCTCTTCAGTATTTCAGGAACCTTCGAGTGTTCCCTTCAGTATTTCAGGAATCTTCGAGTGTTACCTTCAGTATTTCAGGAACCTTCGAGTGTTAGCTTCCTTTTTTTAGGAACCTTCGAGTGTTCCCTTCAGTATTCCAGGAATCTTCGAGTGTTCCCTTCTGTATTTCAGGAACCTTCGAGTGTTCCCATTCAGTATTTCATGAACCTTCGAATGTTCCCTTCAGTATTTCAGGAATCTTCGAGTGTTACCTTTAGTATTTCAGGAACCTTCGAGTGTTCCCTTCAGTATTTCAGGAACCTTCGAGTGTTCCACTCAGTATTTCTGGAATCTTCAAGTGTCACCTTCATAATATTGTAACCTTCGAGTGTTAGCTTCCTTATCTCAGGAACCTTCGAGTGTCACCTTCATTATTTTAGGAACCTTCGAGTGTCACCTTCATTATTTTAGGAACCTTCGAGTGTTCCCTTCAGTATTTCAGGAATCTTCGAGTGTTACCTTTAGTATTTCAGGAATCTTCAAGTGTTTCCTTCAGTATTTCAGGAACCTTCAAATGTTACCTTTAGTATTTCAGGAACCTTCGAGTGTTACCTTTAGTATTTCAGGAACCTTCAAGTGTTACCTTCAGTATTTTAGAAACCCTCGAGTGTTCCCTTCTTTTTTCAGGAACCTTCGAGTGTTACCTTCCTGATTACAGGAACTTTCGGGTGTTACCATCAGTATTTCAGGAACATTTAAGTGTTACGTTCAATATTTCAGGAACTATCGAGTGTCACCTTCATTATTTTGGAACCTTCGAATGTTATCATCCTTTTTTGTATCCTTCGAGTGTTACCCCTCCTTGAGTGAGTGTGTACATTTTGTTCAACGCCGCTTATTTAACCCATATTACTTAGTGACATGTCATCGTATATTGGTATGAGGGGGAGGCCCGAAGTGATGCAGATCCTTTTCATTTTCCGTGAACTAAATCAAAACGAACCGGAATTCGAATCCACAATTATGGGTTTCTGTCAGGCTAAAGAGTCACTACGGCGAATTGATACACCATTGTCGACTGGGCCACTCATGCCCCAGCATCGGGACCAAGACCATCCTGAATAGGAATTAACATTCCGGCGTGTCAAGAGATTTCGATGGAGTTGCATGAAGAAAGATAAACGTTATATTTTCCAAATAAACACCTGGGTTTTCTAACCTACGTGTGATAGCGGGAATATATAGGAATCTGTCAATGACCACATTGAATAATTAAAGGTCAAAATGAACAAAAATCCTCTCCCATAACAATATATTGTTCTGTCCTGTAGTCCAAAACCTAATTTATGAGTTTACCTTTTAAAGATACATAATAAACATCAATAAGTATCTTATGTGCGTTGATGGTTCAACCCACGAATGTACCTTGTACATCAATTAGAAAGATGTACGTGTTTATTTGGCCAGTTTATAGCTAGTATACATAGCTTTAACAACCGTGATCTATTTACGAACGCATCATTTACATCACAGCGTGGGGGAGACAACGAGTTCAGTACATTTCTCACACGGTTTTTCGTTTACGTTGTCAATAAACACTTAGGTGTTGTACTCAAAACACAAAATGTTTCGGAAACAAAAAATGGAAGAGCGCGCCGTACCAAGTGAATGCAAAGCTGTCAAGCACAATATTTATATTGGGAAACATTAGCGGAATGAAAATATAACTATGTTGTTTGGTGTCATTCGCAGAGTTGTTGCTCGTACAAGACCATACAATAATATCATAAATGATGTGTGTTAACATTTTGGCTTCTTTGCTACCATTCCTGTAGAAAAAGACCTGTCATTGCCCTGCTTGGATAACGGACTTGGTTTAAGTGTCTTAACCGCTGTCCGTCTTTACTTAAAGTTTTATGTTCAGGACAACAAATTCAATAAATATTGTTGTTTTTTACCATATTCCACATAGGATTACTCCCTCAACAGGTCGTGTTTTATTGTTAGATCCTTTAATATTAGGTAGGTCAAAGATCGTAATATTTGTCAAAACTTGACCAGCGGGTCAGTTTCGGTAACCAGCTAATCTGGTGCATATCAACGAGTTCAAACATCATGATAATGACTGAAGCCCCATGGGAATGGTTCCCGGACGATATCTTCAAAATATATTGACCAAAATGTTCCCAATGCCAATCGGTAAACGCGTCGCCTGTACAAATATGATCGTGTTTTATTATGTTAGAGATATAAGTAGTCCCTCTTGGAACATTTATCTAATTCAAAAGCCAAAATTATCGATATTACGGATGTCAATGATTACACACATGGCCTCGTTAATGTTGAGTGAGTGGGTATGGTTTCACGCCGCTTTTAGCAATATTCCAGAAATGGGCTTCACACATTGTACTCATGTGGGGCATTCGTCGTGACGAGCGAACGTTTAACCCAATTGGCTACCCCGCCGCCCTCTTTGATATTTAAGTTCAGATGATGACTCCAACAAATTATGAATGTCGTTTAACGCCACAGTCAACAATGATCCAACTCAATAACGACGGACTGCGTGTAATCAGGTGTGGACATATATTAGAAATATATTCCTCGAAAAACACTATAATCAGCCCTTATTACACATGTTAGCTTTATCTGTACATAAGGATGAGACACGCCCAGAACATGCAGTTATTATTTGTCATTTATATGAACACCTCTGATAACATTCATATTTATTTTAAGGGTTTCTTCATTTCTTACATTTAACATATCCCATGTGTCAGAAGGGTCTTCATCGTTATTTGGCCATTTTGCACGGGAATTAATTTCTGTCAATACCCCTGACAAATATTGATGGTTCGTCGTAAATTTAAGTTTACTCGGCATCAAAGGTCGCATGGCCAAGCGTACAATACATGAGATAAATCTTTGCACATGGACAGGTGGGACAAATGTTATACATTATACAGGCAGATTTATTTTCAAATATATGGCAATATTTTTAATTAGCTTAACATTTTTTTATGCTACTAGTTGATTAATTTTGATCGTGATGTATACTGGTAACAGTAGCTTGGGATGTAGAGCTTTCTTTTTTCCTTATAAAATGGACAAACTAAAAGGGAATGGCATTCATCTTCAATTATATTATGATCACATTTCTTGCACTTAAGTAAGTAAGTAGTGACTTTGTCATTGTAACGAAAGTGTTCACTATCCAACTTATGGCTCAAACATCGGAGTTTAAATAATATGCGGATGAGATATTTGTTTGGACATAACTCCATAATATATTTCTCTGGTTCGAGTACAGACTTTTATGTAGAATAATGGTTTAGAAATGATGAAGAAATACTTTTAGCATGCCAATTTCGCCTAGTACTACTTCGCCTAGTACAGCATTAGTTGATACTCTTTTTAAACACATAAATATCATTTAAAGTAAAAACTCCCAAATTTCCGAACCATATAACAATATGGAAGCTGTTTTACTGTCAAATATCGTAGACGCTACCTTTAGAGAAATGTTTGCATAATCTTTTAATAAGGTAATAACAGGAAACGAAGCCTTTCTGGCTTGTAGTGCTAATGTTTCACGCGCCTTTGACCAAATTAATCTGGATGTGAAGACAATACCTAGATATTTAAAGTGGGATACTGCTTTCCAATGTTTATCATCATCAGTCCATTGTTCTGTATTTCGTTGGTATCCGCCATTTCTGAAAACAACAATACATGACTTCTCCAGGTTAACTTCTCGGCCCCATTTGATATAATAACCTTTTAACACATCAAGTTTTCTTTGTTGGCCTATTACAGTGGCATCAATCAATATTACGTCATCTGCAAATAAACTATTGGGGAAAACACCGCTATCCAATTTAACATTTCTAAATATGGTAAATTTGAATTAGCGTGTTTAAACAATTCGGTTGGTACACCATCAATACCCGGGGATTTGCCCACTTTAAGTGACTTGATTGATTTCTCAATCCCCTCTCTGGTAATACGTTCATATCCAAGTTAGCCAATTCTGGGGAACAAATGGTCACGTGACTATAGCAAAACTGGCCTGGCTGGGACTGGTTTGGAAACGGTCTTGTATATGCGATCAGGATGAAGTACATGAAGTATGAAGGATGAAGTTATAGGTTCTGAAATAAGACAACGCCATCTATGTACATAGCGCCATAGATAGCTTCATATGGATATTTTTTTTACAGTATGTCAACAAACTCGCATTTGTGCACACAAATGTTGTTTGCGAGTTTTCCTGTTTCATTCGATATATATATTTACACTGTGAACCTAATGTTTCTTTCTTACACCATTCCTACAAGTCCCTACAAGGAGATGGTGGTACAATCTGGGAAACCCCTTCTTGTGTCTCACGCAACTACACTAACTCATTCACTCATTCACTACAGCGTCTCTACCAAGTTCGTGTGCTTATGCTACAGGCAAAACAATAGCTTATAATTTATTTCAAACATATTATTCCAATACACAGACAACTTCTTATAAAGTCATTCAAGCACCACGCACAAAATACACAAATAATCCTTAAAACGTAAGTACAAAGTACACATTGTTACACAAAAACTGACTAGATGTATGCCATACCACGGATACCATTGCTTCTACTAAACAAACATGCAGTCAATGGTTAGTAGATATCCAAGATATCTTCTCTGACAACCTCTCGCCGCCGAAGCTACGAACGTTGCCAAGTCGTGATGAAAGTCTGATTCGTTTTCCTGCGGTTGAAAACGCGAGACTAGCAGCGGGGCGTGTCGTATTACCGATCCTGCCTTGCTGTCAAAACCGCCGGGGGTAACGTGGCTACCAGTGCCATGGCGATGGTGCCTTGCTTCACGAAATATGGTGTAAAATTAACCAAGTAATTGCCACTCGTCCATTACAAGACTTCGTTCGTATTTCACGCTCAACTATTCTGGTGGCGCGCCATCATGAGGAACTACATTTTCTTTCTGACTATAGGTAAGACTTTTGACGTTATCCACGCAGACAGAGTGTAAGAAATATCTACGCATGTTACGTAATCTTATGCACATGTTGTTGGAATAATGCAGCTGTTCATTGTCGTAAAGAAGATTCAATGCTTAATTGTTTTTTTGCAGATATGTCAATATGGAAGAAGAAAATATTGAAACATTTTGCACAAATGAACATTCTGCGTCTTTAGTGATATCTTTCAGTGCCAGCCTGTCACTGCAAGAAATTATCGAAATACCCCAGAGTAACAAGTTTCAGAACCATTAATGGTGCTGTACAAACAGTTCATGTGTTATCGTCGAATACTTTTGGTGTTTCGCAGTATGGCTAGTTTTTAACAGATTATATATTATTTTGATCTCTTTTTACATAACAAAAATGAATTATAAAGAGTGTATTCTATTCATGCAAAAAGAATATTTCAAATAGAGTTGTGACCACGTCGAGCAAAGCATAAACATTTGACCTATTGACCTTTTTTCAAAATATGGCAAAGTTTAATAATGGTTATATGGAGGTATAACAATCTCAAAATTACAGTATGTCCCTGCGAAGGTGTCTACAAATATCATCAATATAAAAAAAATATTTTACGAGCGCAGATTATGGAGGCTCAATCATTGGAATAATTCCGACTATTATCCCAAACTGGCTTCCATGGGAGATGTCGCTTAGGTGACATCAAGCGTGGTCTCCTTTTGTTTATTTAAAAATGAAGCTTAACATGCGTCAGGCCCAGCCCAAATCCCCACTATCGATACAATAACATCTCCAAACAACTAGACAGATTTACGCACGCACACACACACACACACACACACACACACACACACACACACACACCATTATCAAATATTGATTAGTATATATTTGATATACTACAAAAGACGCTCAGCGATATTCTCTATTTCTCTATTTCTGCGGTAAAACATGAGTACAAACAAGTTTGATATCGATGGGTAACGAAACGTCTTTTAAACAAAAGCTCCAAGTGTTGGTGATGTTCTATCGGAGAAACGTCAGGGGTTAGTTAATGTATTGTAATTCCTCAGCGTCCCCCTTGAATGCGCAGCTAGTAGGAACATATTTACGGCGGCATATTTTCTCACAAACTATCACTAGCCTGTGAAATCGGAGTTCAAATTCCTCTTCGGGTCAATGTTCTGACCTTGTAACGCATAATTGCTTGTTACACAAAGTAAACGTGGGCCTTTTTCTTATATTCTCAATGCTGAGAAACAGCTGCTGATACAATGTTATTCTATCCCTCGTCGTACACATATAGCTATCCTCGGTTGGCTGAGCAACGAGGATTCTGAAACATCTTTTTCAGACTACATGTTCAAACCTGAACCGAACTTGCTGGATCTTCTATAGGTTTGCTAAATAGAGCTCAAATAATGCAGTTACGAGTAACACAGATACAGTGTTCAAAGCGAGGACGGGTTAAATTCGCTTTCCCAGCCATAATACGGAAGAAGACAAGAATTAATTTTCCAAATTGCACCATATTTTGAATTTGTAAAGCGCACTTTATAACTGCTCAAAGGCGCTTTGGCCATATTTATTACCCCGGTCACATGATCAGTGTGCACTTGATTTTTCAATCTCAGCTCCCTGGGGAGTATACGAACCAAGCAGTCTGTATGGCGCTAGACGGTTAACAGCCACTACCGAGTACCCATTCACTGATGCCTGAACAGAGGTATATTTCGAACAAAGCAACATGCCTTAGGAGTCAAGATGCCGAACGCGGTCATCCAAAACAACTATCCGCGACCGACGTTGCTTAACTTCTCCCGGACCGCGTCCGTGGTAGAGCGTCCGCCCGGAGAGCGGAAGATCCGGGGTTCGATCCTGGTCCGCGTCATACCAAAAGACGTTAAAAGATGGTACGTATTGTTACCCTGTCTGGCGCTCGGCAATAAGGGGCTAAAACAAGGACTGGCCGGCTCGGATTCAGTATGCCGTGTCTGAGTGGGGTATTCATGGTAAACTCACACACACACACACACACACACACACACACACACACACACACACACACACACACGCTTTGGTCCCTTTTGACGTTTAAACAAAAATATCATTATACTGATTGCAACCGAACCAATGTGACTCAATTCCCACTGTTTGTACTGCAAGGAAACAACAGGAGAGAGATGACATAGGTTATCCTTGAAATGATCCCGCCAGGATTCCGGATCGCATTAGGTTCGCAGGATCATCTGCTTGTTGTAAGGGTCAACTAAAACCGATCGAGGGGCCAGGCTCTATGACTTGTCATCGTGCCCGGATGGCGTGAATATCTTGTCATAATTCAGTACCTCTTTTGCTTAGTCAAGACTGTAATATTTTACTGTAGTGATATAGATTGAATATTCCTAACACCATCTGTAGAACACATGTAGATCTCAGACAGTTGAGGACAGGGCACTAGCCTACTGAAACAGCCTCATGGAGCTATTATCACAAACACCATCTGTAGGACACATGTAGATCTCAGACAGTTGAGAACGGTGCACTAGCCTACTGAAACAGCCCCACTGAACAACAAAAGTTCCTGTGACATTTAATAATATTTAACGCAAAATTATGTTTTTTACCAAATCTGAAACAGTTTCGGTTTGCAACAGATAAAAGACTCCTGTAAGTGTTCAAATGGTTTAATTTGCCATACTGACTTCAGAAAATGCGTGATTTCATTTTTTTAAAAACATGAACATGCCAAAATGTCAATTTACAAATCAATAGCGTGTTTGTCCACCTCTGGTTGCGATGCAAGCAACACATATCCGTCTCATGGAATGGACCAGGCGTCGCACAAAGTCCTGTGGGATATCTGTCCATATCTGCTGGAGCATGTTTCGAAGTACCTGGAGTGTCTGTGTAACACGTGGTTGACGTCGAAGGCGCCGATCCATCTTATCCCACATGTGCTCGATTGGTGAGAGATCGGGGGAGCGAGCCGGCCAGGGGATGACATTCACATTGTTTTGTTAAAGAGAATCCTGAACAAGTAGAGCAATATGAGGCCGGGCGTTGTCATGTTGAAAGGTAATGCCTGGGCCATGACGACGCAAAAAAGGTAGAACAACAGGGCCGATGATCTCGTCGCGGTAGCGCTGTCCATTGAGACTTCCCTCTACCACTATCAAACGGGTCCTCTGTCTTGCTGTATTCCCACCCCATACCATACCCGAAGCGATCTTCTGCCATGACACAATGATTGACGTAACGTTCACCTCGACGGACGGTACACTCGAATCCGTCCATCGCTGTGGCTGAGGTAAAAACGAGACTCATCAGTGAATAGAACTTGTTCCCACTGCATGGCCGTCAAGCGTAGACGCTGTCTGCACCACTGTAGACGTGCTTGACGGTGGTTTCCTGTCAAAATGGGACGTATGGCCGGTCTTATTGCGACAATCCCTGCACATCTGAGGCGACGACGTACGGTTTGTGAAGATATTCGTCGAAGGCCAGGGATGCTTCTTGTAGTCACTGTTGCTGGCTGGAATCGATTTCCTAGGTGTGTTGTTCGAATCAAGCTGTCTTGTCGATTATCGGTTACGCGTGGCCTGCCACTCCGAGGATGGTCTCTGACTGCATTCGTCTGTTGCCAACGTTGCCATAAACACCAAATGGTGTTTCTGTGGACGTTAAATTGTCTTGCAACATCACGTTGACTCGATCCTGCTTCAAGCATACCAATGGCTCGCAGACGCTCATTTTCGGACAGGCATGGCATTTCGTTATGTTGAATAATTGCGTAATTTTGTTGTTTTTCTGAGTGGTTGTTGTCAGCACGATGCTAAACAATGCACATGGAATCCCGTTAACGCACATTTTTTATACCCATTCTTGGGTAGTGAAACGCATGGGGCTTGCATAAAAGTCAACCTTTGCATGGAATGCATGCTTTTCTGTGGCAGTTGCGTTTTTGTGACTTGATTCCATACATGTACTACAATATTGAAAACCAAACTTTACTTGTTTGTAAAATACACTGAAATATTGGTGTCACAGGAACTTTTGTTGTTGAGTATATAAGAACTGATTACGTTCATTGAGCAAGTGGAATCTACACGCAATTCTCATCAGAAGGAAGTCCAAACTTGTTTCAAATATCTATCATTGTCGTGGAGTTTGAAAAAATGAAATATGTTTACATATCCGTCGAAAACTTAGTTTTCATGATGACTGACAACGTTCTGGGTTTTTTCGTTCTCTATAACCCTTCAAAGCATTTCTTAAAGGCACACTTTTGTCAAAAACAAGGGTTCCACAATATATCTGTAGATATTCATGTAAAGGAGGTAGGATAAGCACCCCTTTATGACCCACCGGAAATGTTTAATTATGAAAATTGCGGAAAGCTTTGTAATAATGATCTGAGTGAGAATTGTCAGACATATTGAAATTGTTGACAACCACTTTTGTTTCCTTTAACACTTGAAAGTTTTTAAATTCTGGTGTGATCAAGCAAAAACACATGTCGAAAATGAGCGTATAAAGACGATTTTTCCAACTTCAAGAGAACTAATCCGTGACCCAACATGAACTTTTCGCCATATGGTCGAACTGTTTGTGTCTCCTCAGAAATTCAGTTTATGTCTAAGACTTGCTCATAATCACATATTAAATAAACTCGACAAAACCCTTTCCATATTAATAGGCAATCTCTGCCCAAACCACAGTCGATTGTACGATTCCGACTATGTAATGAGCAAATGCTTCATGAAAAACTATAAATTCAGTCTTTTCGACACATTTTAGCCTCAGGTATTCATTGTTGTCCAAAACATACATGTGTTAAAATGAACAAAGTCTAGTTCTCATTCATGTAAACATATTATAACTGTCACAACATGTCATGGCATATTGTTGAGTGTGGCGTTAAACAATAAACACATATAACATGTCATAAAATTTCTGAAATTATTCCTGTGGACCAAGAATGTATGGAAGCGTATTAATGCCAC